TGGCTCACAATTAAAATCAAAAACCCATAAACAATTAAAAATACCCCATGAATAATTAAAATTAATTAATCCATTAAACTCAATTGTAAAAAAAAAAAAACCCCTATACATAAATACTAAAAACATTCAATTTGACGAGGGGGCAAAGTTAATCACCCCACAAGCCACCAGGATTTCACACCTTTCTTGAAGGCCATGAGAGTGGGGGCACACCGCACCTCGGGAGGTAGGTTGTTCCACAGAGCAGGGGCCACAGCAGAAAAGGCCCTCTTCCTAGATCCCACCAGACAAAATTCCTTGACTGGTGGGGTCTGCAACATGCCCCTTCTGCCGGCCCAAGTGGGGTGGGCTGATATAACGGGCGAGACGGGTCCTCAGATAACCTGGTCCTGTGCCATAAAGGACTTTAAAGGTGATAACCAACACCTTGAATTGGACCTGGAAGCAGACCAGCAGCCAATGCAGCTCATGTAACAGTGGTGTTATATGTGCCCCCCTAGGGGCATTCAGAACTGTCCGCACCGCCGCATTCTGCACCAGCTATAGCTTCCGGATACTCTTCAAGGGTAGCCCCATTACTGCAAGTGCATTGCAGCAATCCAGCCAGGAGGTGACCAGGGCATGAGTGACCATACGGAGGGCCTCCTGATCGAGGAACGGGCGTAACTGCCACACAACACGGCATGTTGTGTATATGTTATGTTGTATAAAATACACGTTACGGTATTGTTGATTATTTACAAATGCCTAGGATGGCAGTCCTGTATATAAGATCTAGTGTTGAGTAGAAATGTTCAGAATGATGTTGTAAAACAAGATAGTGTAACCTGGTGAAAAAAGAAAAAGCTATGAATTTTGTCTGCAGGGTCTCAAGGTATTGTTTTCTTATATTTATTACAGATGATGGAAAAATGGGAGAATCAAGGCAGTCCACAGACAAGTTTATCTGCTCCAGCTGTGCCACAGAATATTCCCTTTCCACCCACCCTTCACAGGAGTTCTTTCCCCGACTCAACAGAGGCCTTTGACCCAAGAAAGCCTGACCCATACGAGCTGTATGAGAAATCACGAGCTATTTATGAAAGTAGGCGTAAGTGAAAGCCACGGTCCACCTTTGCAGAGCCCTTGAAACTTTAAATTGGCCCAACGGAATTGATTATTATAACTAAATGTAAAGCAGATAACAAATTTATTTGTTATGGATATTAGGGGGAAAAAAACCTTCATGCATTTGCCTTAAATTTGCTGAAGGCACCCCAGATGATTAGGTTCAGCAGAAACAGATGGGGAATGATAGAACAGCCACGTCTGCTGCTAGGTAATGTTAATCATTTGCAACCATGTAAATTGGCCTTTTGTGGAGACTGCCTGCTTTGAATCCCCACTCAGCAGTTAAATCAAATCAGTCTTTATTATGGTCACAGACCATCATAAACCAGTGAATGTCGAGCTAATTTCACAATGCAGGTTCCCTTTGCTTTATTTACATATAATTTTTGGTGTTTTTTTGTAATGCAGTCACAATGTTCAGTTGAAAATTATACCATATCTTTAGATTAATGTTATGAAACGTCTTTCCATCTAGCCTGTCATATATACAGTTTCACATTTCTGAGAGACTGAAAGCAAAGGGGAGGTGGTGAAGTGTTGGGCATATAAAGAGGGCTTTGAGGGCAACCTGTGGTAGAAACCACAGGAGAGGAGCAGTTGTTAATATGGCTTGGCTTCAGTCATGGTTACTGCCCATGTACAGATTTCACACTAAGCATAGAAAAGGAAACCACAGACCCTTGTTAGTAGGAGGGTGCAAAATCTTTTCTCAAGAAATGTTTGGGCCCTCAAATGGGCTGATTCAGGCTTACGGTGTGCCATTCTCATCCCAGAAGAAGCCATTATGGGTCTAGCCTCAAAACAGACCAATCTTTTTTACTCTTCTGGTTAAATCTGACTGCAGACAGAGCCAACAAATGAAAGTACCCCATTGTACAAACCTAGGTATGATGTGGTTACACTTAACTATGACTTAGGAAACTGGGCAATTTGACTGTGGCTTTAAACCCTGCCTCATGGCATAGCCTAAGGAAATAAACGGGAGTCTGAAAATGGAACAGATGCTTCTGATCTTCTCAACTGCATTGGAGGAGGATTGGGAATCAAAAATGGCAGTGCTATGTTTGGTGTATCTCAGATCCTGAGACTTCTGGGCCTGCCGCTTCAAAGGGAATACCCAATAGGGCTATGTCATGCCTTCAAAAGCATTACTTCTTAAAGCTTGGTAGCTCCAATGAAGTATCTTTCTTCATGAATTTTTGGCATGGTTTGCAAAGCTGCTTGAAAAACTGTTCCAAGCTAAACTTGTCCCGAGTTATTTCCTAGTGACAAAGAGCTGTGAGAAATGAAAAGGGGCCCTGTAACTGGCAAGGTTCTTTTTGCAACTCATTAACTTTGCTAAAGAGAGACTTGGATTGATCGAACACTTTAAAGTTGGTCTCTTCCCATTCTATGATTCTGTTTCTATGATTCAGCAGGAAGGTTGCTTGGAGATACCTCAGAAGTGATCTTATAAAGTTGGAGGTCATGTAGGCATTCCAGAAAGCAACATTATTTAAGAACAGACTTGAATCCAGCTGCTGCATGTAAAAATAATTGACCAGGAACACCTGCAAATTAAATTTCTGAGTTTCTTATGCTGTACAGTGTAGTAAACAAAACCTAGGTCTCCTGCTGGTCCACTCGCAACATTACCAATACCTTTTAGAAAACATTATGGAGGAGGGAGTAGAAAATTACCTTTGAAATATTGTTTTGCCAACAAAAGGTTGAGCACAATGACAATAAGAGCAAACAGACATGCATAACTGAGAATTCTATATTAGGTTCTGTGTGTTCTGTGTAATATTAATTTGGGCAGTAATGAGCTACCAATTATGTTCTGCTTTTAAAGAGTGTAATTGCTGTAGCTGCTGAAATGCAGGGAATCATCATTTATGTAGTAAAAGAGGCATCCATAAAACATACTAATCAAACACTAATGCAAACAAATAACTTACTCTGAAAAGTACTGTCTTCTCACATTGCCACAGTGTCAGCTCCAATGCTCAGCGCATATCCCATTTTGTCTTTAACATGTGCATGTGACTCCTTGAAGGCCTTGAATAAGATCTCCAAATGATTAACTACAACATTACATTTGTGCCAGCATGACAGAAGAATAATAGCCATTAGGCCACAAAAGAGTTGGGTTCTGCCACACTTTCCTAACAGAACTAGCACACAAAACAGTTGAATAAGTTAACTGAGTGCCTAAACTTTTACAGTAGTTCTTTTCCTCAGTATCAGTTACTTTTATTGGGGAAATCATAGTCTTTAAGGCCATTCCACACCTTCCATCAGGCACATATGTCCCTGTAAATCGACCAACAGTAGTCTCCTCACAGGTAGCAACAACTGAGCAACTGAGTTCAGCATATTTAATTGACAGAACTCATGATCTTAACAACTTATCCTACTTCCATTTACAATCTTTGTGTCATTCCAGAATCCACTCCAGACCTGATCTCATGCCTTCATCTATGTTTACAATTTGAGCCTATTTGCTTCCCTACAACTGCTATGTTTTTGCAATGATAATATTTTCTCTTCTGTGGAGCTTCTGGGTGATCCATTCTCCCATTTGCAGGAATTCAAATCTCACTGTGCCTCCTGCTTCAGTCTCCTTAGAAGTTATTTCAAGGAGAAATGTGACTTGGTGGCTTTTTAGCCACCAAGACAGATGAGAGAGTAAGAGGGGCAAAGAGAGAGAGAGAGAAATTAAACCAGACAAATGAACACAGCATTTACAAGATTGTAATAAAGAGGAGGCACAAGGTATTGTTTTATTCTCTTTTGTGAGGGAATTTCTGTCACTGTAGGATTTGCAGCAGTTCAAAACAGGAATTTCTGCTCCTTGTTTTCTGCATTTTGAGACTGGCATAAGCAAAAACAATGGACTTCAAAGTGGTTTTGAGGAAGTGAGGAGTAGAAGTGCTGACCTAGAAGTGCCCTATTTACTGATGTTGACTTCTAAGCTTATAGACTTCCCTCATGAAGGCAGAGTAAGGAACTTATTTTGTGAAATGGGATGTAATTCTTGTAACAGTGAGGAACAACTATGGATGGTAGCATTTCATCAGAACCTTCTAATTTAACCCAAAAATCACATATGGAATATAAAGTTGTCAGAAAGACAGGCATCTGTAAAAGCCACAATGATGTCCAAAAAAAAATGTGCATGAAGATGTCATTGCACAAATGGTGCTATTATGTAATGACATCTGACTCAAACACATAAGTTACATCATTTTGATTTTAATGTCATCACATCTATATCAACTAGTCCACCCATTTAATATAGACGTTTCTGATGTAAAACTTACTTATAATGCTTCTTTAATAGGACAATAATTTCATGTATTATTTTATGACCTTTTAAATATACTAGAACAGTGATAGAATTATACCAGTTGCCTGTGATTTGCTGTGCCCTCAATGTGCGTGAATAATTTGACCAAACTGGGAGCCCACCAATCAATATTGTCCAGCAATAGTTCTAAAATTAAATTGCCCCCAGAAACTTTACATTTTTTAAGCTGAGAAGTATGTTTCATAGACTCAGAGGGAGACACAGAAGCACAGATAATAGTGTCTTCAAGGCTGATATCTGATGCCTGTAAATAATATTATCAATGAAAAATATTCAAACCTTACCTAACAAAAGGACTTTTGGGGAAATCAGTTGAATAAAATGCCAGATTGCAGACTTTTTTTTCTCTCCATAATTCTGGGGAGCTTCTGTTCAGATGGTTTATTTTGCCTTTCACTGAAGATTTCTATAGAGACCCACTAATACTTCAGTATCAGGCTGCACAAGAACATCTAAATAGCATTCTGCCTGTTGCTGCAGGTTGTCACTGCTCCCTACAAGAAGGAAAAATACCAGCCACCAGGTTGCTGCAGTGTTTAGGTCCTGGAGTAGGTCTGGAGAGATTCTAATTTTAAATCTATTCTTAAATGTAACAATTCACTTGATGCCAACCATTCTCTCTATCCGTTCTGCATCACAGAGGTGTTCTGAGGAGAACATGCATGTTTCTTTGAAAACCTGGAAGAAAGCTAGCTTATAAATCTAACAAGTACATGAATATGTATACATGCCAGGATAGAACTGGATGCGAGATAAACAAGTAGAATCAGGAACTGCCTGCTAAGGAACCTTTATTAGCGCATTATCAAATGTTGGTCCTTGACAAGGTGTGATGTTTCAGTTGCATTGACTTTGAGCAGAGACGTTGAGTCAGTTTCTATGAAGGCTTTCCTGAAGCTGCCCTTTAGATGTGTGGACTTCACCTTCCAGAATGCTCAGTGGTGGCCATGCTGGCTGGGGAATTCTGGAAACTGAAGTTCACCTAACTGGAGCCTGCTAGGTTGGTAATGGTTGAGCTATGAATGACAGTATCGTCCATGTATGTTCAGAAAAAAAAATGTGCTAATTTTTAAATGTTTGGAGCTGTCTTTTCTTCAAAGTGTGGTTCCTTTAATTTACGTTCACTCTGAATAACTATATTCCAAACTTGTCAACTTTTAAAAGTGTAAAACAAAGGACAATGTTCTTTTTCAAACCATGTGTGCAGGGTTTCTCTAAATATTGCTTTGAAGTAGCATAATTTTTGTGTCCCATTTTCTACCCATAATCACACCAAACGCACACACACACAAATATATTTAATTTCTTTTTCTCTCTCTCTCTCCAGATATGATACAGGAGGATGCTTACATCTTATGAATACAAATTATCCCTCTAACATCATATAGAATAAATATCAGATAGAGGGGGGAGAAAAGCTTTAAGTCAGACATTTTCCCAGTACTCCTCATCTTGGCGGGAGAGTTACTCATTGTGACAAAATATTTTTGTTGATTATAGGATCTGACAATAAATCCAAAAGCATTTTCAGATGTGATTATAGAAATATCAACACTAGAGAAAGTGCTGTGGATGTGAAATCATTATGATTGCTGGCAAGGAAACCCCAGAGGAGTTATGCTAATGGAAAGTGTCAGTTGTACAGTTGATAGCTGTATTAAGGGTGCCACAATCTATTCCTCTTAAAATATCTAATTTTTTTAAAAGCAAGAGTCTTTACTCACCTTTAGAAATGTAGAGATTTGGGGGTCACTTTGCCTTAGGAAACAGAGAGAGAGAAAGTGGGGGGTTTCTAACCTTACATTCTACTCTATTCCTTTCTTTACCGTTCTCTTTCATTCCTGTATCGGTTTACAAAGTTCATATGTGTCTTTCTGCACATTCTAACATACGTTGTGTAAGTTATACAATGTACGCACTTTAACAATCTCATTTTTCAAATGCAGTTTACGGTGTGCCGTTTCCTAATGCATGTACTTGACATTTAAAAAAAAATTATGAACAGCATTGCAAAATTTGGAAAGTGTGAATATTGATACCTAACTGGGATGAGGTTAAGGAGTCAGGTAATGCAAATTAAGTCATATCTGGGTCAGATTTTGTATGAATGGGTGTAGGCAGTAACATATACGTGTTAAATGGTAGTTTTGTGGCTTTAAATGCATATCTATTATGCTGGCAGAGTATCTTCTGTTTGCTCCAAGCCATGGTTTCTATAAACGTTGGTTGTTACCAGAAGTGTGCCGATAATCTCAGATGCTGTGTCCTATTACCACTAGGGCATTTTTGAACTGAATCTCACACAGTGGTTCTGAGTGCTTCATTGCCTGGGCAAACAAACCAAAAAATGTCTATCCATTACAACAGCTAGGACAGTTTGTTAAGTTAAAGGTTCATATTTTTTTACATTTTTTACTGAAATCTTTTATGGATTTTATTAGTCTTGGTAAGCCAGTTTGTGTTTTTGATGTGAAGGGATTCTCCCCAACGTATTCATCCTTTTGGTCAAGTTAGCAAGAAACTGTACTATACAATGCTCCTCTGCATTATCTTTTAAGTCAGTGTTGTCCAAACTTGGCCACTTTAAGATGAGTGGACTTCAACTCCCAGA